ACTGGGTACACTGGCTCTTGGATCTAAGGAGGTGCTAATTTAGTCTCTGCCTGAGGCTACCCAGCAGGAGCTATGAGGAGATCTGCAGATTCCCCTTCCTTGTTTGGGGTTTAGATGGGGTTTGGAGGTGCCCAGATGTGAAGCAATGCAAGCTGCTGTGGGGCCTTGAGCCTTCTTTTGGATGTTCTGGTTCTCTCTGACCCAGCTGCAGTTTGTTAGGTAATTTTAGATCTCAAAGGGCCAGCCCATTCATATGCAAAAGCCTCTGCTGGCAGCTTGGTGGGTGGGGTCTCAGGGACTCAACAGGGCGGAGCAAACAACTATGGCTGTTCCTCAGCCCTGCCCTATGAGGCCCCCAGGTCTCAGTGTCCCGCGGTAATCGCTGCAAGCACCTCTGAGAGAAAGCCGCTGAGTTCCGCCCCATGCCAGAGAGTCCAGTTTCTCCCTGTATGAGTCTGGGTTCCCAGAGACTCGCCCAGAACTGGCAGCTTGTGGGGCGGGCCTGCCTGCAGCCCCGGGACCAGATCATCGGGTCCCGGGCAGCAGGCAGGCGGCTCCTAGGGTCATCCACGGGGGCCTGGATGGCGGCTTCTGCTGTCCCACCCTGCCTGCAGTATGCAAATTAGCTGCCATCTTTGTTGGCAGTTAATTTGCATATCTCGCTGATTAGCCAATGGGAGGTGTAGCGAAGGTATGGTCAATTACCATGTTTGGCTATTAGTAGATAGGATATTTGTTGGGTTGACACCTTTATAATTATGTAATGCCCTTCTTTGTCTCTCATTACAGTCTTCATTTTAAAGTCTATTTTGTCTAACATAAGTATAGGTGTGTTATACCAAAGGGTCACGCGCTCACTTCCTGGCCAAGGGCGCACACCTGGGTTGCAGGTTTGACCCCCAGCTTTTTTGTTTTCCATTTTTTCATCTCTTCACTTTCAGTCTGTATTCTTATATCCAAAATTAGCCTCTTGTCAGTAGCATACGCTTGGCTTTTGGTTTTTTATCTATTCAGCTATTCTTTTGTTGAATTTAGTCTGTTTTACAGTTAAAGTAATTATTGATAGCCCTGACCAGTTTGGCTCAGTGGATAGAGCATTTGCCCTGCAGACTGAAAGGTCCTAGGTTCGATTCCGGTCAAGGGCATATACCTTGGTTGCGGGCACATCCCCAGTGGGGGCAGTGTAGGAGGCAGCTGATCGATGTTTCTCTCTCATCGATGTTTCTGTCTCTCTATCCCTCTCCCTTCCTCTCTGTAAAAGATTAATAAAGTACATATTTTTTTAAGTAATTATTGATATGTATGTGCTTATTGCCATTTAATAGTTGTTTTGTGGCTCTTGTTACTTCCTATGTTCCTTTCTTCTTCTCTTGCTCTCCTCTTACTAGTAGTTGTGGTTTAATGACTTTCTTTGGTGGCATGCTTGGATCCCTTTCTCATTACCATTTGTGCATCTACTATAGGTGTTTGCTTTGTGGTTTACATGAGGCTTACATATAACAATCTATATTTATAAGTTTGTTTTAAGTTGGTAGCTTAAGTTTAAATACATTCTAAAGCTCTACATTTTCACTCTCTCCCCACTCGTGTTTTATGTTTTCAATGTAACATTTCACATCTTTTTATCTTTTGTATCCCTTTATTATTGTAGTGATAGTCATTTTTACTATTTTTGTCTTTTAACCTTCATAGTAGCTCTGTAAGTGATTAGTCCACTAACGTTACTATATATTTATTTACCTTTACGATTATACTTTCATGTTTTCTTTTTTTAAAAAATATTTTATTGATTTTTTACAGAGAGGAAGGGAGAGAGAGAGTTAGAAACATCGATGAGAAACATGGATCAGCTGCCTCCTGCACATCTCCTACTGGGGATGTGCCTGCAACCCAGGTACATGCCCTTGACCGTAATCGAACCTGGGACCTTTCAGTCCGCAAGCCGACGCTCTATCCACTGAGCCAAACAGGTTTCAGCCATGTTTTCTTGTTACTAATTGGCACCCTTTATTTCAGTTTAAAGAAGTCCCTTTAACTTTTTATAAGGCTGATTTAATCATGATGAAGACCTTTGGCTTTTTTTTTTAAAAAAAATAAGCTGCCCTCTGAGAAAAGGAGCTCTAACTCATCTCCCAGCTCACTTCATCTCAAGTTTTTGCTTGTCTAGAAAAAAACTCTCTCCTTCAAGTCTGGATAATAACTTTACCAGGTGGGATATTCTTAGTGCTAAGTTTTTTTCTTTCAGCGCTTTGTTAAAAATAAGCAAACACGTCTCTCAAAGTTTCGTTTTTTATTGAATATGTTACAAAAGAAATGTAGTCGAAAAGACCAAAGCCCGTGACATCATCAGACTCTAGATTCTTCTTTCTTTGCTTCTACTTTCTCCTCCTCAGCTGGGGCAGCAGTGGTGGAGGGGGCAGGATCTTCTGCTGGGGCAGGTCCATCTGCCCCTACATTGCAGATGAGACTTCCAGTGTTGACATTGGCCAGAGCCTTTGCAAACAAGCCTGGCCAGAAAGGTTCAACGTTTACTCGAGCTGCTTTGATGAGGGCATTGATCTTATCCTCCATCACTGGCTCCGCATCGTCGTGGGGGAGAAGGGCCATCGTGCAGGATAGTGGCCAGGTAGATGCAGCTCCGAGGTGGAGGCCTTGGTGTGGGCGGGTGCTGGGTGGGTGAGCGCTGCCGGGAGTGGTGCTAGTTGCCAGGTGAAGCGAGGGCCTCCTCCTCAGCTTCCTTGGAAGGACGGAACAGCTTACCAGCAGCTGGGGAGAGGGAGATACGTTTGTTATCTTGATTGTAATGTTAGTTTTTCAGGGTATATCTATGTCAAAGTTCATCAAATTGTGTACTTTATGTGCAGTTAATGTCAGGTATACCTCAAAGCTGTTTTTAAATTTTTATTTTGGAGAATAAAAAGTTGTTAGTATGCAAGAACTCAATAATTATTGTTTTTATGAGCCCTTCTTGAGGCAACCAATCGATGTGTCTACTATAAAATAAGCTTCAGACAACAAAAATGACTAGAAAGACATTTATACATGCATACCTCATTTTATTGCACTTCACTGATGCTGTGCTTTTTACAAATTAAAGGCAAGACTCCACCAGCAAAAAGATTACAACTCACTTTGATACTTATAGCAGTGGTCTGAACCATATCTGCAGTATCTCCAAGGTATGCCTGTATAAATACACAGTTTATGGTAGAGAACTAAGACTAAATGAGGTTTAGAAGGCAGAGTACAGGATGTATTGGCCACATGCTCTGCTAAGGCAGATAGTGCTGTATCAGTGGTTAGAGTGTGGGTCCACACACTGAAGGGTTGCAGGTTCGAGTCCCGGCCTCGGTTGGGGTGCATGCAGGAGGCAACCAATCAGTGTTTCTCACATCGATGTTTCTCTCTTTCTTATTCTACCCCCCTCCCTTCCTTACCACCTACCCTCCCTTTTAATCTCTCAAATGGAAAAAAATATCCTCTGGTTAGATTTAACAAAAACAACATTGTGGCACATGAGCAGCTGAAGATCCACATATGTTCATGTTAGTACCATTCACACACAAACACCTCCTCCCGATCCCCAGCGTGGCTCAGTGGTTGAGCATCAGCCTATGAATCAGGAAGTCACTGTTCAATCCCCAGTCAGGGCCCATGCCGGGTTGCAGGCTTGATCCTCGGTGTGGGGCGTGCAGGAGGAAGCTGATCAATGATTTTCTCTCATCATTGATGTTTCTCTCTCCCTTCCTTCTTCTCTGAAATCAATAAGGACATACTTAAAAAAAAAAAAAAAAAGAACTAGTGGAGAATAGGAAGAACATTGCATACACTTCATTAAAGATTTTAGTAATCATATTGGCAATATTATTATAAGATAAATAATTATGTGGCAGAGAGCATCCCTAGCACCAGATTATGGTCTTGAATACAGCTTCTCACTAAAGGAAACCAGAACTCTTGAGGAAATGACAATTCCAGGTCTGAAGTCGGAAATGTACAAGATGAGCTTGTACGTCTTGTCATACCAGATTGAAAAGAAATGAAGTCATATTTTGACATACTAGGATTATGTCAAAGGAGCCAACTTGGAAGGTTCACAGTGCCAAAGATGGGCAATACGAGTGTCAAAAATGAGAATAATTGCAATGAACTGAACCTACCACATATGCTTAAATCCATGAGTTCAGACATTGAAGAGAGAATCAGTCATCTTTGGAGAAAGTTAGGGAACCAATTCTGAAAGAATCAAGCATATTCTGCCTTTCCTATCTGATCTGTACCGCTGGGCAACCAAATATTAAGAGGGGAATTGTCCCTATTTAGGGTATTCCATGTAATAAATGACAAAGAAATGAATTACAGTATCACCATTTTGTAACTCTCGGTGAATTAAGAGAGGCATAAATTGCTGACAGGTTCTAACAAAATAGAGAGAGACAATGTCACATAATGTGCCTGCTGATGAAAGAATACACCACCACATGTTGTCTTGGCAAAGGGGTCAAACCTGTGTTTGATCCCGTCCTGGATCCAGCTTCCAATGTAGGAATTCAGAGGAATATGTTGAACTGAGTATTTAATAGCAAAACCCAGCCTGAGAAACTACAGATCAGATGACAGATTCTTCAACAGAAAAATTACAAAAAATAAAAGGATCAGAGGAGGAAGCTATAAATTAGGAGATAGGAAAAACAGTAAAAAAAAAAAAACACTTAAACAGCAAGACTAAACTGTAGTGTCAGGATGCACATTTGGGTAACAAAACTAAAACAAAAAGATTATAAGTCAGGATAATGGGTACTTACGAGGTGAGAGGGGCTGTGATTCAAGTAGGACATAATGACAGGGCTTCCGGGGTAAATTGCAGTCTTATTTCTTAACTTGGTGATGGTTACAAGAGTGTTTCAAAGTAATTCACAAAGCTATATATTTACTATGTATGGTTTTCTGAATCTGCCCTCCTTTCATATGTTTGAAAAATGTTCTGTTTCTTAAATTCCTGAGAGTCCTAATTCTCACTTTAAATGCATACTGCTGAAAAATATACACCCCAGTAGGAATCCTTAAAGGAGAATTGAGTGGCTAATCCTTAGTTCACCAAAACAGCTGTCCTGCCTAAGCCAGGCCTGAGGACTGGAGGGGAATGAGCAACAGCCTTGGCTCTGCCAAAGCGTGTTCTGTTGCCAGGCGAAGGGGCCGAGTCACAAGTCCCCCTCCTTACAGATTGGCTGCAATGCCGTCAGCTGGGCCCCTGCTGTTGTACCTGGAAGCCTCATAGACCAGCCTTCAGGACAGAAGCCCAACTACATCAAGAAATTTGCCTCAGGCGGCTGTGACAACCTCATCAAGCTGTGGAAGTAAGTGGGGTTCGTGGACTTCTCAAGGGGACAGCCTTCTACTCTACCTCCCATGACAGCCACAGTTCACAAAAAAACAGGATCATCTTTTTTCCTCTTGCCCAGGGAATACTGTTTTCACTGTCAGAGGACATCCTTTAAAAAAAACACAACTTGCTGTTAGCTGAAGCA